GAGTGATTTCGGGTGGAAATGAATATCAAATTCGTTCGATACTCATCAAAATACATGGGAAAAACCTATTTTTAATAGTGAAATAAAGACCCGTGTGATACTATAAATTGACCCTACTGTATGTTTTTCTAGTGTTTTTTGTGTGTTTTGATTAGATCTGACCTTTATTACCTCTTGGAAATTGGCTGTTTTTTAGTTATCACCCCCTTCTACCCCCAGCAAGATAGGGGATCCTGTTGGGAACCGGGTTGTGGGTGGGGGAAAGAATCGAGCATTTTCTGACAAAAATCATGGCCAACTGAATTCAAAACACACCAAAAAACACGAGAAAATCATATAAACCTAACCTTTTTTTGGATAATCTAATCTAACCTAACCTGAGCTAACCTGAGCTACCCTAACCTATCCTGACCTAACCTAACCTAACCTAACTCAACTCTCACAGTGTTTTTACGTAACTAGACTCACCATAAGAGGGAATCACTGTTATTTCTTACCTTATTTTGAATTAGAATCCAAAATTCGAGTAGGCTTGGGAGGTGAACCGAACACCACGAGATCTAAAAAATGCTATTGCTTGTTCGTTTTTTATTCATATAATTGAAGTGACACCCATCGAAGACTTTCATGGTCAGAAATAATTTGAATTTCGAAGCGTGAGAGACCCAAAATCACAATCGAATCTGATTGGGCAAAAAATACCACAAATTCTATAAGCAGTAACCACAATTCATGTTAATTGGTGGCAAAAAAAAAAAGAACGCTTTTGATTGGCCGCGTGACGTGTATAGGAACGCATGTGCATGACGATTTATGAAGGGAAGATTAATGGAATTAAATAGAAAAAGATTTGGATGCACTATCTCCGTTATTATAAGTTTGAGACGGTAATGTAATGCTGTAGAAGAAAATTATCTTAAAATTAAACGTCTTTTTCGAATACGATAATAGATTTGGGGTAGGAATGTTGTGTGAACTACAGCAAAAATACCGAAAATGACACCAGGCAACTGAATATTGAGTCATGTATGGAGAGATAGAGAAAAGATAAATAAAAATAATTTATTCTATGATGTTTCATTCGTAAATTTATAGTTTTTGAATAAAAGGAAAAAAGGTAAAGTATAATATTTGGCCAATTAGTGTGAGTGTTGATGTGACGTAATAATTGTGCGCTAATCAGCATTCGCGGCCAGTTGGAAGGTGGCGTCTGTGCTGCATTATTCAGCTCATTTTGGACAATGAAGCAGCATCCATTGTCATTTTTAGGGCTCACAGTGTTTTTGTTTCATCTGTCAAGTGTCTTGAGATGTAATTCAGAGTGTCAATACCATGTAGATCACCATGCATGGTACTGTGATAAGAGAGGGACACTGACGGCCACTTCCTCATTCAAGTCGCATCACTTTATCATCCTATATCTCTTACTTAAGTTTCTTTGGCCTGTGGGTTAGGTTAGGTTTTTTCCAATACCTCAACTACTGCTCATTTTCGACGGCATTGAAGGTCATATTTGTATTTAACACGATGATTTACATTAGAAAAACCTATTTTCAATACAGTTGGTCCTCATATTACGCGGTTAATGTAACCCGGAGGGTCCCGCGGAAAGTGAGGAACGCGTAAAGTGAACAACATAACATATGGGATTAATTGAAATGGAGTCCAGGCCGATCCCCAAACTCCACTTTTTGACGACACACAACTATGTTGTAGTAAAAAATTTATCTTAACTTTATGATGGTATGAAAAAACAAGTAATATAGAAGAGGTTAGGTTAGGAAAGATAAAGGTTAACATAGGAAAAATAAAGGTTAGGTTAGAAAACTAAAAATTTTGTGTAACACTTACGGTAGTAGAAGAGATGGGTCGGCATACGGGGATGGAGGCTGGTTCCGAGGCAGAGGGCAGATTACTGGCCCACAGGTGAATCACCATTACTAGGTGAATCATCATCACTGTCACTTACAGTTGTCAGGGCTTCCCTGACAAATCCCTCAAAGTCAACTTCACGGAGTGGCCTTGAGGGATGAAACTGCCGCGGCTAGGTCAAGCGTCGTCTTTCCTCCCTCCCTCCCTCCCCCGGGTGGACACGTCATAATACTTTAAGCCAATTACAGCTAGCAGCAGAGGAGGGTAGGGATGCATGGCCAATCACAGGTCTGATACGTCATATGACATCAGTGATAACGCAACAAAGACACACACTGCGCAACCTTACCGCGCCGCTTGCCCAAGCGGAGGGAGGAGGAGGGAGAGGCAGGCAGGCGGGCGGGCGGGTGGCGCGTGGGGAAAATCTAAAAATAGCGTCGCGCCGGACACTCTCCGCGTAATGGCGTTCGCGACCGCGGAATGTAAGAATGTTAGGTTCTGGCAAGGCACCGCGTTAACGGTGAAACGCGGAATGCGGGACCGCGTAATATGAGGACCAACTGTATTCAGTTGACAGGTGTCATTTTCTAAATATTGACCAATGTATCATAAAGATAGCTAGAAAATCCATGTCTTGTTGCTGGTTCAAGGAACCAGTGTTTTCTATACATTTACTGTGATTTCTTCCGAACACAAAATATTGCAGTTTCACCCCCAAGATTGTTGGGTATTATTTCACTTGTTGCAACTAAACGAAACTTGGGAAGTTTAAAGTTGCAATCAGTAGTTTTGACAATTCTAAGAAATTTTCCTTCCATGGCATTTCTGATACAAATTACGTATAAGTGAGATATTTGACATTTTATTATGTATGAAAATTTGATAAAATTTCACTTGTTACCACTATAGTAAATCAAAATTAAAACTGTGTTTTCCGATGTTTTTTGATGTGTTGTGAACAAATTTGACCCCAAATCAATAGTTTCTGAGATAAGCCCCCCATCTCAGAATCTATAGATTTGCTATAAAAATCAAGATTAAAAGTGTTCAAAACCCATCGAAACCCATCAGAAAAACAAGACTCTAACCAACCTAACCTAACCTTATGTAATCTAATCTAACCTAACCTAATATATAAACTAACCTAACTTCACCTAACTGGGGAGCTCCACAGTCGTTCAATGTTCTTTAGTTTCTGATATAGGGGACTTATCTCAGAAACTATTGATTTGCATCAGATATGAAGGTCAAATTCGTTCATAACACATCAAAAACCACCGGAAAAACATAGTTTCAACTTCAATTTCGTATATAGTGGTAACAAGTGAAAATTTGTCATTTGTTGGAGAGATGGGGGGAGTGATAAATATAAAATGACTCTTTTCCGACAGAAATGAAGGCTAAATTTGAATGAATCACACCAAATACTATTGGATATACAGTACTTACATTTCTGGTCAAAAACCAATTGGTAATGAAACTGTAATTTTACCCCTAATCTACAAAACCTAACCCAACCTACAATATGAAATTTGTATCTCTTAAAATCATCAAAAAATTCCTGTTTATGAAAATAAAGATGCTTTTTGTGCCTGTTATCTATCTGATGAAATCATGTTTGTGTTCCCAGTGGATATCCTTTGGGACTCCATTATGAAAGGATGATCTAATATTGGGATTTATTCAGATTTTAATTTCCATTTATAGTTTGGGACCCAGGGATCTTGACTTTTTTTTAAACTATAGATATTTGTATCCTTACCTGTATATAATCTTTCGACACCATTTGGCCTATTGATTTTGGCGATATAGCACTTATGAATTTCAGGTCCTCATATGTGTTTCCAGTGGCCAGGTACCACAAAGTTATTGATAGCCGCTGACTTAGAGGAATAGCTTCTCGCTTCACTGTATTTTGTTTTAAAATGAGTGGTATAACCATTGGCAGTAATTTGTTGTAATATTCTCCATCCATTCACAGGAAATTATTGTTGTCGGCTGGCTTATTGCATCGCAATTCAGTTAAAAGATTCTTATGAGTGTAATAATCTGCTTCTTCAGCCATTTTTTTGTCCAACAAGTTTGTACCTTGTTTGCTTATCCTTGCATAGCGAAACTGCGAGAGCAAGAGCTATACAAGCGTCACTGTCAATATTCATGGTTGGTGATGCAGAACTTCATGTGTCAACAATAAGACCGCAACTGATCATTGAACAATATTATCACGCCATTAGTAGCAGACGGATTTTGACAAATTATTGTTGTCAATATATTGAGTAAATTTTATTGACTTCCCTTCTTATGAAGGTAACTGTTGTGCCTGAACTCCTCCATTTAGGGGAAATGGGTATGATGAGGGAAGTGTGGTTGGTACAGTTGGGGTCAAAAGTTTGCTCCCTCCAAAATGAAGCGTCATCAACCTCAAACAAGGTAAAACATCACAACCGCACCAACCAAATGAAAGTCAGGGTAAGCTAGTTCGGAGACTCATTCCCATGACTCAGTTTCACCATAGGAATGAACTTTTGTCTGTGATTGTACACCCAAAATAGGTTAGCAGATCAACCCTGACTAGAATTATGAGGGTCAGTAGAGAGACCTGTGATCTCCAAGTAAGAAGCCTATATTACGACAGCCACTTGGCTCTTTGTTTTGTGAAAAAAATAATTTTTCAGAATCCCCCCAATTTTATTTGCCATATAACCTGTCTTGAAGTTTTAATTTTTGGTCACTTTGTAGTGTGGGAACCCTCACATCTCCTTGAAGGTGGGAATGAGGGGCGTGATTACTTCACTGCTAGGGAAGTGAGGGCCAGGGTCTCAATCAATTGTACTCCAATTGTACCACTAAAGTGGGTGGAAGAAATATGTGTTCTTTGACTGATGATAAGAATGGATGTTCTCTGTGGGATAAAAATGACTAGTCAGTCATCTCGTGAGGGTGGAAAATTATAAAATCAACAAAGTGCTCGTACAGCTGTTGCATACATCATCTTAAATATACAGTACGTACTAAGAAAATTTATGATGAGGAGCTAAATTTGTCTCATGTTATATATATGTTGAAGTTATTATATTCATTTAATACCTTGGAGTATGTGATCTTAATTATATGTATTATTTTCAGTTATGAATATAGAGTGGATGTATAATGTACCACCACTCTGGTGGATTAATCTTCCCATCATTGGTTGATCTTGCTGGAGAACACTCTAAGGGATAAAAACTGCAGAATACTATACCACAAGTGCTACAGGCTGATCACAGTAAGGTTAAAGTTTTAAGTTTATTAAGGAGTCAAGGAATGTGATACTTTTGCCAAATAATGAGTAGTTGAATATTTTTAGCATTAGCATATCATCTTTTCACTCTGGATATCAGACGGTCGTGAACATACCAGTAGTTGCCAAGGTTGAGGCTTTCGGCCCAGTTGTAATAGTTCTGGAGTGGATTTGCTTGAAATTTTTGAGAGTCGCAGGTAGCAGGTTTTGGGCTACTGCATTTTAAAGGACTGATTATTTTAAAAAAATGAACCCAATTGAAAATTTATAGAAATAAAGTTATTTCTATCATATAGTATTACTGAGGAAAAGATTTGGAACATAGAATAACAGTTTTTCCCAAACTCTTCAGCCTCAAGTGACCTGTCTGTTGAAGCTGGTGCCTGTCAGTGACCTCCCCCTCATCCTACCCCAGTCTTCCAACTTTATTTTATTCTTAGGTACATTGCACAAGTGATACTTTTACTTCAACTTCAGTAACTATGTCAAAACTCATAATACAGTACTTGTACTTTTACATGAGTAACAAATTTAAGTACTTTGCACACCTCTGGGTAAATCCATGCACAAAAAAGATAAAATTTATTACCTTATTTCACTTCAGGGTGACTTATATACTGTACAGTATACAATACAATATTCACATCAAAACCCCTAAGTTTGAAACCCGAGATATCCATAACTACAACACCTGTGGCAAATTAAAGAAAACTCAATTTTCCTCTAGCAACCATAGCCCTTAAAATGGGGCATTAGAAACCAAAGCTAACACTGAAAGCTAAGGGAAGATTTTATGCTGATCTACACAGTTTTTAGTACAGGTTGAACCCCGCTAATTTGGGACCCGACAGTCCGGCAGCTTCGATGGTTCAGGACGGTGTCATAGCTCACTTCTAGTGGCTGTTGCCAATATTTTACCTTTAAATAATTATAATTTACCTTTAAATAATTATAATTTACCACTAAATATGCCTCCTAAGAGACCAGCAAGCAGTATAAGTGGTTGTAATGCGGCAAAATCTAAGCATGTGACATAAACTTTTAGAAAAGTTGTCTATACTGGAGAAATTAAACAGTACTGTAATAGTACATTTTATGCATTATATTTTCCTTTTTTAACCTTGACTTTGATGGTTCAGAATTTTCGCTAATCCAAAACCGGTCTGGTCCCAAGCTTCCCGGATTAGCGAGGTCCAACCTGTATTGTATACACTGTACAATACTGTACTGTACTCTAAGAGTGGGTTTTTACCTTGTACACTCTTTGTAAGGGTTTATGATCAGTAACAATTCAAGTAGGGTTAAGTGGGTAAGGTCGTTTAGGGAGCTGCCATGTGTCTTGTTACCAGGTGAATAGTTCAGGCAGCAGTTACCTTACCTGTACAGGCAACTCCCTGGTTACGGAAGGTGTGTGTGCTTGAAAATTTGTCCGTAGCGTGAAATTCCGTAATGCTAAACCAATTTTCCCATTGACTTCCATTATAATTATAATTGGAGATGCGTTCCCAAGGAAATATTTCCGGAAAAAAGACGTAATACAAGCACATTTATGAATGAAAATAATTTTTTTTAACACACACATTGATTATTTTATGATATAATATGATAATAAATATACAAAACGCTTGAATATAGCTTACCACAAACAATGTTGAGTGCTGCGTTAGGTGAGGTGATGAGGTAAGGTGGTGCAATCAGTTACTGGGAGGGAGACGGGGGCACTACTGGCTCCTGCCTCGCCCTGTACAGTATTGTAGCAACCACCAAGAAATCCACACAAAATAAATTGTATAATTTCTGTGAATTTTTTTCTAATACAGTGAACCCACGGCGGCCCGCGTAAAGTGAACAACATAACATATGGGATTAATTGAACTGGAGACTGGGCCGACCCCCAAACTCCACTTTTTCAGACACAATACCTACGTTGTAGTAAAAATAACTTCTTAATTTTATGATGGTATGCACACACAATTAATAATTAATAATTAACTGTGGAATGCTTTGCCTTCTTCTGTGTTTCCATGCTCTTACAATCTGTCTCACTTTATAAAGCTGGTTTTCCGGCATCTTCGTGGTGTAGATTAATACAGTATAACCTTTTTTTCTATATTTTCAATTTCTTTCCGTTCTTTTTTTTCGCCCCCAGGCTCCGTTGTGGTTCGTTTGACCTGTGCCCGGGTTGGCTAATTCCTGTAAAAAAAAAAAAAAAAAAAACTTACATTAGTAGAAAAGATGGCTGGGCACACGGGGATGGGGGGTTGGTTCCGAGGCAGAGGGCAGATTATTGGCCCTCACCTGTATCACTTGTATCAATTGTATCACTATCCACCACAGAGGCTTGCAGGGCCTCATTGTCAAACCCCTCAAAGTCCATATAAGTCCATATCCTCACTATCATTATCACTGACTTGGGCCGGCTGTGGTGGGTGGCTGGTGAAGAACTCGGTAATGTTTTGATGACTGGGCGACCTTGTGCGCACCCTGCTCGCGCCGCTCTCCGCGTAAAAGGGTACACACACCGCGGAAAGTGAGCATTCCGTGTTTGGCAGGGTACCGCGTAAACGCGTAAAGTGGGACCGCTTAAAGCGAGGGTTGACTGAAGGACAGTATTGAAGAAAAAAAATTAAAATTTACCCAATTTCCATAAGGGCGAATTTTTTGTCTGTAGCCCTAATTTATTGGTCATAATTTACAAAATCCGTTAGAGCGAATTTCCGTAACTTTAGGCCAACTGGTGGATCCTTGTGAGGTGTTAATGAGAGGAATTCACTCGTATTATTTGAGATAGCATTGCAGGACTTGCAATATTGGAAGAGTTTGGGAGGTGCCACTAGCTATCAGGGGTGTCAAACTCATGGCCTGTGGGCCAAATGTGGCCCTTGGGATGGTCAGGTGTGGCCTGCGGGATGACGGTAAAATTTATCAGCCCGTGAAATTATGATAGAATTAGGTATGAAGTCCCGAACCCGTATTACTGATAAGCACTTGGATGCCATCCTCCGACTTAGAGCCAAATATAGAAAAACTTGTGGAAGAAAAATGCTTGCAATGGAGTGGAAAATGAGGTCAAAGTTGTGAGTTGCATGACAGTTCTTGTTCTGCATGTACATAACGCAACTGTCATAACAAGATTGAGCTCTTACATTTCAAAACACAAATGAAATTCTATGATAAATTGTAGCCCCAAATAATGCATATACAGCCTTTTGCTATCTTATTAATAGCATTAATCATGTTTATTAAGTAAAATGAATTTCACATACAGTACGTACTTAAGACCGGACAAACCCAAATGAGGTATTCCTGCAAATATGTGATATAAGCACTTGTGTTGGCCCTGAAGAAGGTAACTAAAATAAGAATTGGCCCTCGAAAGGTATTGAGTTTGACACCACTGAGCTACATGATAAGTAATAGCAGTGTTGTGACAACACTCACGTACCTATAACCTAATGCCTACATTTTATTTATGTTTCCCTGTTTAATATATGATAATTATACATTATTTCATCCTGGGGTCATCTGGGAATCAGTGAGTCAAATATAGTCTTGATTTTAGTTCAGTATTGGTGACTGCATACCCCTAGGGTTAACCTTTGGCATATAAGATGCAGGATGATTTTATATGGTGGTAATACAGTAAATAACAACTTGATGGATGTACAGTAAATTATATGTAACACAGTTAGATAGAAAGATAATTTTTAGAACATTCAGGGATATTCATTTGGTGCAATTTTCTTCCAGAGAAGCAGAGTTGAGAATAATGGATGATGATGAATGGGAAGAACTTGATGAAAGTGCAGTGGAGGAGTGCATGGTTCTTGCCACGCAGATGTGTTCTCGACTTTCTCAGAATGAAAATATTTTGGATCACAAGAAAAGCCCAAATCCTGAAACAGCTGGGAAAGATTATTCCAAAAGTATTACCACCAGAAATTACCACAATAATCCAACAAATACTTTTGATGACAGTGGGTTTTCAAGCATAAAATGCAACAGTAAAAATACTGCAAGCCTCTTGTCTAGCAAAATAAAAAATGCAGGAACATTCGCGAATAAACCAGGTACTCCAACAAATAACAGCTATAGTAGCAGGTTCAATGACTTCATCATTCCATGTAATACTTCACAAAAAGCTATCTCAGGAGCTGGAAGATTACTTCATGTTTCAGGCAAGGTATATAATTCTATCCCTATGAAAGGAACTGGAGGAACTTTTAGCAGTACAAAAGGCTCTTGTCAGACTACCTGTCCTTCAGGGAGATTGGAGGGGGAGGAGAATCAACAGCAATTACTGAAGAGGACAAAATTGGAAAAAGACAAGGTTGAGGAAGATCTCATCTTAAAGCAAGGAGAGGTAAGATATTTTTGCCTGTGTGTGTGCATGTGAGAGAGAGAGAAAAACTAAATTTTTTCTTTTCAGTGAAGTCATTAACCCTCTCACAATGTGACGCAAATCACGTAAAATCATTGGGTTGCACTATTTGCATCAGTTACGCGAATCGCATCGCTAAACTTAAAAAAAAAATAGGTTTTCAAGATATTTACATAAAATTTTCTTGCATGATAGATGATAGCATCATCTTATGAGGGAAGCTTGCAGAAAGTACCAAAGTATGGGTGGGATTCCGCTGACCATCAGTTTCCTCCTGTCAGTCATACTGGTAGGTCACATTTGTCTTTATTTCCTCTCTCACCCTCCTCATAATTGGATGTATTAAAATTGCAAAGCCACCCTTAGAAAGCTCATAAAATTCCACTTTTTTAACTATATTACTGTACCTTGATAGGCTTATGAGAAAAATATCCAAGATATGATGCTAAGTCAGCTGGTTGACTGTCTGGCTGAACTGTGTCGTGTTGCCTGGAGGATGGTTTGAGGCTCTGTGTTTTGTACATAAAATATGTGCTATTGTATTTTATGAAATGCTATGTATCAGTTTTATTATTGTAATAGATTTTGGTACAGGTTGTACCTCTAGTCCGGCAACCTCGGGACCTGACCGGTGCCGGACCATGGAAATTGCCGGACCATGCAAATTCACCCTTTTCCTGGATAGATAGTGACTTGTGCTTATGCTTGGAAGCACTAGCACCACTTTCTCTGCATCATGGTCTCTTTGAAGACATATTGATGGGTTAAATGTCATATAGTAGCTTCTCAAATTTCGCGAGTTTTTAATTCTTTAATTATTTTATTGGAACACAAAAAAAAAATAAATAAAAATTTTGACTACGGAAACTTGAATTTCGACGGGTTTGAACGGCCCGCCAACGTGCAGACGACGTGCATAATCGTGTAAACAGCGTCATTTCTCTTATGTACAAAAGATTCATTATTGTTTATTACTGAATGTCTTTTTTATTGAATTTATGTTTATGTGTGCAAAATGAGCAATACAATTCATTAATAATACGTAGAATATTAAAACACACTAGGAAATGACACAGCATTGTTTTCGTTGATTACAAAACCAGTGACTGACTGGTTCTACATATAAAACTGAAGAAAATAAGACCTTGGCTGTAGCTGTAGTAAAATTAATATGATTGTTTTAAGTAATGTTAATAAATGGAACAATAGAAGTAGCTAACGATAATGGTAAAGAAAAAAGAGAGATCGCGTATGTAAGTGCGCATGCGCACACGTGAAAACATATCGTCATTACTTTACATAAGAATATGAAAGCAACACTTATTTCCTGTTCATATATCTTTTAATTAATGTTTCTGAATTTGTTTTATTGAATTAATGTTTGTGTGTGCAAAATTAACAATACAATTTATTAATAATACGTGGAATATTAGAGACGAGGCGGCTGCCGGCATTGTTTATGTTAAAGCTTACAAAACCAGTGACTGATTGGTTCTACATATAAAACTGAAGAAAATAAGACCCTGATTTTAGCTGTAGTAAAATTAATGTAAAAAAATTAATATGGTTGTTTGAAGTTCCTGTAATTTTATTTAATGTTAATAAATGGAACAATATAAGTAGCTAACTATTAATGGTAAAAAAAAAGTGAGACTGCGCGTATGTAAGTACGCACATGTGAAAATATATCATTACTCTACATAAGAATATGAAAACAACACTTATTTACTGCTCATATATATTGAAGGGTTAAATGTTGTACTCTGTATAGACAAGCAGAGAGAGCGAGAGAGTGCAGCCGAACTGCCGGATGTAAACAAACCTTAATTTCCCGCGTTTTTTTTTTTTTTTTTAAGGGGATTAGCCCACCCGGGCATAGGTCACTGACCCACATTGGGGCCTAAGGGGCAAAAATTTAATGCTCCTGTAATAATAATAATAATAATTCAGTTAAGTAAAAAAAAAATAAATAAAATAAAAAAAAGCTGCCTATCTACCTATTGGATAAACTAAAATCGTTCCGGACCACGGGAGTTTCCGGACCACAGAATGCCGGACTAGAGAGGTACAACCTGTATAAGCAATTTTAAATTTATTCAAATTAGGCTAACCTTGTGCTCACTGAAAGGTTCAACTCTGAACCTCACATTTTCTTTAGAATTTTTGTCCCAATATGTCAATTGTTTAACTTTGAAATCGTTTTTAATGAACTTGTTTAAAACAAGGAAATACTGTATTGTATTATAATTATATACTGTACCAGGAAATTTTCTTCCTCACTGCTTATCTGGACTGTTTAAAGAAAATCAGTTGTTGTTATAATGCATAACAAGGTTATTGAAACACTATTATATCAACAATACAAAATATGAAACAGAACTCTCCAAGTTGAAAATCCAACATAAGTCTGATTGCCAACAACTGTTTTCACGGAGATGGTTGTTATACAGTAGAACGTCGATATAACACTAGATAGGTTCCAAGAGAGTTCGCTTTAAACCGAATTCGTACTAAATTGAAGTGTTGTTTCAATGGAAAAATTTAGTTTGGTACTTGAGAGAAACACAAAATACTAAAAAGACTGAGAGTCTACCCAGGTGCACCTCAGCCCATCTAGAATAGAATAAACATTGTTTTTTGTAGTATTATGTTAAAACAAACACTCATAAATCAACACAGCTAAAATTAAGAGATACAAAATGGCCTGTTTACTGGCTGGGAAGATGGGGGGAGGGAGGGAGGTGAGGTGATATGTTTGACAGTTGCTGCCAAGGTCTAGTGCTTATTTATCTGTCCTTAAGAGTGACTTTAAGTTTTCTCTTATAAAATGTCACTGAACTGACAAGGGAGAATATAATTTAAGATTGCTGGAATTCTTATAAGATAGTGATTAATTTGAATATAAACGTGCTATAGCTCGCATTAGACATGCAAATTTTAATTCTAATTTAAGAATTTTATTACAAAGAGCACAAATTTTTATCTCATGCAAAATATATGACGTTTACATTCAAATTATTCGCTGTCTTGCAAGGATTCTAGCAATGCAAATTATATTCTCCTGACTTTAGTTTGTGACATTATATACGATAAAAACTTTAAGCCTAAAACACCAAACCCTGACTGGGGAGTGACAGTGACATGTTTGACAGTTGGTGCCGAAGGTCTAGTGAAGTATTTATTTCTTTATGTCCTTTAGTTTGAGTTTTTGTTTTTTGCTTATTCAGTAGTACTGTAAAATGTTGCAGAAGTGACTGGGGAGAAAATAATTTACATTGCTGGAATTTTTGTAAGATAGTGATTAATTTGAATATAAATATGCTATAGTTTGTACTAGACACAAATTTTAGTAATCATTTAGTACATTATTTTGAGAACAGTACATGTACAGTACAGCTTTGCCCTGAGGACAGTGTAGCGTGCCCAGAGAAACATTAGGCGCAAAATTTTAAATATGATGCACCAGATTGACTCGTGCAAAATAGGAAAGATTCGCTTTAAATTAAAACATTGTCCTTAATTGTGGTTGTCGCTTTAAATCAATAATCTTAGATTGAATCGCTTTAAATCGACGTTCTACTGTATACAGTACTGTAAAGTGTTATCTGTAAGTAATCACAGAATTTGTTTTATGAATGAAGAGAAAACTGTATACTGTACAGTACTATAAAGATAAAAATTAGAAAGAAATAATTGTAGGGGTATATTGTTTGGGAGGTGAGAGTGATCTGGGAGCAGCATGTGGGGGAAGTGGGGTAGAGCGGTTGTTTAGTTCCCTCCCCCGAGATTCAGTTTCATCATAATTCTCATATTCAGGTTCATTTGGTGCCAGGTTGATAAAATCTTCTCAGTAATCAACTTTGCTGAAAAAAGCATCCCAGCCTCAACACCATGAGTCATTTGTTTACAAAGGGCAAACATTTGATAGGTTTAGCTCCTTCACTACTCATGCTTACCACAACATCTGTCTTTAGGACTTAGTAAATTAGTGATGTACTGTAGTGTATTTATCATCACTTCATAAGTAATATTGTAGTGTAAAGTATTATGCATCTGTGTATTCCTTGATTTATTCATTAGTCATTTGTCTAAGTGTACAAGTAGCCAAATTGAGCCATCATGTATCATTAAAAGGAAATAAATAATGTTAGGAAGGTATCTTCATTTCAAATACAATAGTACAGTGTGTCATAGTGACCCTGTTGTAAGCTGGTTATCGGAAAGCTCTCATAGGAACGCATCCTGAGTGAATACCTTTTGATACAGCTTATCCTTTTATTTTAAAGTCAAATTACAACTTACATATTGTATTTTTCCTCATTTATTGAAGATATTATGTTAATCATGATGAACCGTACACCATAGAAGACTGATCATGTACAAGAATATAATATTGAATCAATAAATAAACCTGAAGAAAAAGGCAACCCCAGATCAGGCCGCCGTCGCCTGCATCCCCCAGCCTGCTTACATATGTATGGTCTTAGCTCTTGTTAGGCCTACAGTAAATATGATTAGACTACTGTACAGTTTTCAGCGAGCAAGTGTTGTATTTCATAAGATTAATATTATTTTTTTAATTTTACTCATTTTGTAAAATAGGTACAGTACACTACAGTCATGCGCCGGGTAACGTCCTAGATACGTTCTTGGAAACGTGACGTTAACCGAAATGGACGTTGTCCGATCATCACATAAACTTTTTATTTATACTTACGTGTACCGTATGTGGAATACTATATACGTACATATGCACTTTTACTGTTAAATCACTACTGTAATGTGATACAGGTGATTAATTTTTATCTCTTGTGTAAAATACATGACGTTTATATTAAAATTATTCACTGTTTTACAAGGATTCCAGCAACGCCAAGCAGATGGGGGAGAGAGGGTGGGAGCGAGCGAGGGGGCGTGGGGGGAGGGGAGGTAGTACGTTTGACAGTTGGCACAGGCCCAGGTCTAACGCGTGTATATTTATCAGTTCTTAGGTGACTAAGCTTCTCTCTTATAAAAAGCCAGTGAAATGACCTGGGTGAATATAATTTACATTGCTGGGATTCTTGTAACATACTGATTAATTTGAATATAAACATGCTATAATTTGCACTAGACAAAATAATTTTAGTACCGTAATCAAATTAGTACATGTGCTCTCCAGCTTTGCACTAAGGTCATTTATTTCTATTACGTTTCTTTTAGTATGGTGTGTGCATGTAAATGGATGAAAATAAATGAAGAAATCTATGTAAATCTACCCAAAAATACAGTTGAAAAACTTTTTTATTAAATGTACTACAGTACTGTACACTAATGTACAACAATTTTTATCTCTTGAGCAAAATATATGATGTTTATATTCAAATTATTGGCTGTCTTGCAAGGATTCCAGCAATGCAAATTCTTATCTCCTAACTTTAGTCTGAGATATTATATAAGATAAAAACTGTAAGCTTAAAAGCCCGGCTGGCGGGGGACTGACGGAGCCAGCCAGCTACGCCACCCAGTGAGGGGTGGGGGGTTGAGGTGATAAGTTTGAGGCGAAGGTCTCTGTGTGTTTATTTAACAGTCCTACTAAGCTTCTCTCATTTTAAAATGCCAGTGATATGACCTAGGAGAATATAATTAACATAGCTGGGATTCTTGTAAGATACTGATTTATTTGAATATGAACATGTTGTAATTCGCACTAGACATAACAATTTTGGTACCGTAATCAAATTTGTACATGTGCACTCCAGCTTTGCACTAAGGTCATTTGTTTATTTTATGTGTCTTTTAGTATGGTGTGTGCATGTAAATGGATGAAAATATATGAAGAAATTTATGTAAATCTACCCAAAAATACAGTTGAAAAACTTTTTATAAAATGTACTACAGTATTGTACACTAATGTACTACATTTTTTATATCTTGAGCAAAATATATGACGCTTATATTCAAATTAATCTCTGTCTTGCAAGGATTTCAGCAATGCAAATTATATTATCCTAACTTTAGTCTGAGATATTATATAAAATAAACATAAAGAAATCACCAGGGTGGGAAGAGGGGGCGGGAGGTGAGGTGACAGAATGTCTGGCGTTTGTTTATTTATTTATTTGAGATAAGATTTGACAGTTGGTGCTGAAGGCCTGCGTGTTTATTTATCATTACTTAAGAGTGACTCGGCTCTTCTCATAATTTGCCACCCAAACGACCTGGGTGAATATAACTTACATTGGAGGGATTCTTGTAAGATAGTAATTTATTTGAATACCTGTATAAACAAGCTATATTTGCAATAGACATAAAAATTTTAGTACCGTAATCATTTAGTACATGTACAATACAGGTTTGCACTTAGGTCCATTGTTACTGTACAATATTGACTAAATTCACTAGATAACGTACGCCTGGCCGCACAATCTATAAGAATACGCGATGCATACGTGACTGTGCCCGCTCTAGGTCCATTTCGGTTCGCTAGGTCCCATTATTTGAGTGTTTTTTTTTTTCAATTTAAATTTTTATTGTTTATTCCTTGATAGAGGAAGCGGGATCCTAGTGTTGTCACTTGGTACCCCTGTACCATAACACCAGAAGCAACTGGCCAGTGTCACAAGTATATACAGTACAGTACAGTCATCCCTTGGTTTTCTCGCCTAATTGGGAACCCGCCGATAACGAAAGTACAGAACCTATGGGATTTATTCTAATTGGTTGAGGCACCCAAGACCCAACCCCAAGTTTCCCATTTTACGACCATTTAGACCCACTAAATATATATATAATGTTATGGTAAATATCATAAACACACATAGGCATGGCTAGGTTTATTACAAAGTGATGAAAAGGGTACGCTTAATACTGTAGTCCACAAAACATGTAGCTATGCTTTTTTTATTTGGTCCCTCATCATACGAGTCCGTTTTCTCTCACATCAGGACGCCTGAGTCCTCCGTTTTCTCTCTTAATCTTAGAGTGCACCAGAAACTTTACTATTTTTAGTAATGCCACAGAATTTTAAATTGCAACCCCAATTGCAACTGGGGTTGCAATTGTTAAGGCAACTAGATATGTCTGATTACAGCAAATGTGTTATTGTCAATTTGTAGGTGAAAGATTTTATCCTCAATAGATGTAGGTTAACATTTCACCTGTAGGCAAATGCTTAAAAAAAGCCTAAGTAAGGAAGCATATACCTTTGACACATAACATCTGACGAGTATGGGGAGGATCATCGTGTCTCCGTCAGGGGGTCGTGGAGTGGTGGTCCAGCAGGCGTTACGTTTTTTTTTTGGGGGGGGGGACGCACGGACGTATATGCGATTGGACGTTGTTCGGTCGGACGTTAACCGGCGCATGACTGTACTTACATTATTTTAACCCATTTCTTAAAACCCTCTTGTATCCCCGTTAAAGGTACTCGGTACTCTACAAAAAAGTTCACGTTAATAAAGCTAGCGAGGTGCAGTACACTGATACTATGCATATGAAGGCAGGACTCAGATTGAGACTAGAACATTCAGACATGTGACCGCATGACATTGTGCACAGAGGTTCAACTTCATGTACGAAAACAAACCGTCTGGACTGATGCTGGATTTTCCAGATTTAATTTTTTCTGGTGAATAGAGGAGCAGTCTAGAGCACCTCAGAGATTCGGAAGAAAATTAATTTCGATGTACAGTAGAACGTCGATATAACACGAGATACGTTCCAAGAGAGGTCGCTTTAAGCCGAATTCACACTAAATTGAAGTGTTGTTTCAATGGAATAATTTAGTTTGGTACTTGAGAGAAACACAAAATACTAAAAAGACTGAGAGTCTACCCAGATGCACCTCAGCCCATCTAGAATAAAATAAACATTGTTTTTTGTAGTATTATGTCAAAACAAACACTCATAAATCAACTCAACTAAAATCTTAGGACGTGAAATGGTCTGTTTACTGGGGATCAGCTGATGGGGGGGGGAGGTGATATGATGTGATATGTTTGACAGTTGATGCCATGGTCTAGTGCTTATTTATTTATCTGTCCTAAAGAGTGACTAAGTTTTTCTCTTATAAAATGTCACTGAACTGATATGTTCTAATTAATTTTATTACAAAGGGCTAAAATTTTATCACTTGTGCAAAATATATGACGTTTATATTCAGAGTATTTGCTGTCTTGCAAGGATTCCAGTAATGTAAATTATATTCTCCTAACTTTAGTCTGTGATATTATATTAGATAAAAACTGTAAGCCTATAACCACCCAACCCTGGCTTGGGAGATGGGGGAGGGAGGGAGGGTAGGTGACAGTGACATGTTTGACAGTTGGGGCCAAAGGTCTAGTGAAGTATTTACTTGTTTATTTATGTTGTTAGATTGAGTTTTTGTTTTTGTCACAGAAGTGACCGGGGAGAATATAATTTGCATTGCTAGAATTCTTGTAAGATAGTGATTAATTTGAATATAATCATGCTATAGTCTGCACGAGACAAAAATTTTAGTAATCATTTAGTACATTATTTTGAGTACATGTACAGTACAGCTTTGCCCTTAGGACAATGTAGTGTGCCCAGAGAAACTTTAGGTGCAAAGTTTTAATTACAGTATGATGCACCAGATTGACTTGTGCAAAATAGGAAAGATTCGCTTTAAATTAAAACATTGTCCTTAATTATGGGTGTCGCTTTAAATCAATAATCTTAAATTGAATCGCTTTAAATCGACGTCTTACTGTATTGAATTTTACTAATTAGAATTCTTTTTATATATTTTTGTACAATATTTATATGATTAGTACCTGCTTCTGTTCTTTTTTATTTCAGATTAACCAACAAATGTAACTTAACTTGACCAGCTTGGAACCTAATCCCCTCTTATTGCATTGATTTATATGGGAAAACTTGTTGAGTTACTCTATAATTGTTATATGTATGAACTTTTAGGAACAGAACCCATATGAATAACGAGGACTCCCTATACTGATATAACTGATCTGACCCAAATATAATCTCAACTACTGTATTGTTGTATTAGGTACTCATTGAATATAATTTTCTTTTTTGCATTTAGCATAGAAAACATTTTTATCAATATAAAAGCATAAAGAGAGACTCATAAATGTCTTGTATTACAGATAGCTTTGTTACGGTCAGAACTGAAGAGAAAAGAGGCAATTTTGGAAGCTGAGAGGCTAGATCATTGTACCGCAATAAAGGCTGCAGAAAACAGAGGCAAGGAAAAGGTAAGCAAAACATTTCTCATGAAGGTTTAATAAATTTTCTCAATGTGAATTTTTAGGTTGCCACAGGTGACTCAAAAGATTATTATTAATATTACTACAGTATTATTATTATTATTATTATTATGAAAGACATTTGTGGTAGAAATGCATAAGATATTTCTAACTCATGCTTGTTGAGCCATAGCAGTACCCAAAACCTTGATCCATCTGATGTGAGGCAATTGACTTGTGTTCATGGGTTTAACAAGTGGATGCTTTTTTGTAAGAACATTTCACAGTTGCCTCTGAAATAATAGTGTGGTACTCTTGCATCACTGCAGACAAACAACTTACTGTACTCTGAGGTGAACTATAATAGACCCATCACGTAAAGACAGTGACACAAGTCTTAAGTTACATGACTATACTAAGTGTTATTATGTCTCTGTAGTGCCTCAAATTAATGGAGTACATTACTGGTGTGTCGTATGTGTTAGATATACAGTAATATGTTATGTGTAACTTTAACCCATTCATTATGGACTAGTAAAACAGTAATTAAACCGTCAAAAAGGTGAGTTTATGGAGATTTTAAAATTCTATTATTCAATTTATTTTTTGCAATTTTAAAAAGCATAACTTCCTGAGTTCTACAACAGCCAACATCATTGTGGGCAGATGCTTATTATGCCTTCCACGTAGCAACAAATGAATAATACATACTGTAATTGATGTCATGGCTGGCAGATGTATGATTCCCTGAATAACACTTATACAGCAAATATTAAACATTTCATTTGATTTCTTGGCAATTTTTCTCTTGCCATATAAAAGAACATGCTCCATTCAAGTCATATTTTCAGGTACAGGTATATAAGATTATATCAAGCACCCCAGATTGTTTCTAAATTTTCAAGATAGACAAGTTTCTAATATTTTCACAAGTCACAATAAACCCTCGATAACTCGGAATGGATGTGGTCTTGGAATGTACGAGTATAACTTGGGAAAGGCTGAGATATATAAAATTATCTGGGAAAATCTCGGCATATATGGCCACCTGCACCACCTACTATGCATCTATGTCACCTACCATGCTTCTGTGTCACCTACCATGCTTCTGTGTCACCTATGCATCTACATCACCTACCATGCTTCTGTGTCACCTACCATGTTTCTATGTCACCTATCATGCTTCTGTGTCACCTACCATGTTTCTGTGTCACCTACCATGCTTCTGTGTCACCTATCATGCTTCTGTGTCACCAACCATGCATCAGTGTCACCTACCATGCTTCTGTGTCACCTACCATGCTTCTGTGTCACCTACCATGCTTCTGTGTCACCTACCATGTTTCTGTGTCACCTACCATGCTTCTGTGTCACCTATCATGCTTCTGTGTCACCAACCATGCATCAGTGTCACCTACCATGCTTCTGTGTCACCTACCATGCTTCTGTGTCACCTACCATGCATCAGTGTCACCTACCATGCTTCAGTGTCACCATGCTTCTGTGTCATCCTACCAGCTTCTGTGTCACCTACCATGCTTCTGTGTCACCTACCGCTTCTGTGTCACCTACCATGCTTCTGTGTCACCTATCATGCTTCTGTGTCACCTACCATGCTTCTGTGTCACCTACCATGCTACCTATGTCACCCTACCATGCTTCTGTGTCACCAACCATGCATCAGTGTCACCTACCATGCATCAGTGTCACCTACCATGCTTCTGTGTCACCTATGCATCTACATCACCTACCATGCTTCTGTGTCATCTACCATGTTTCTATGTCACCTATCATGCTTCTGTGTCACCTACCATGTTTCTGTGTCACCTACCATGCTTCTGTGTCACCTATCATGCTTCTGTGTCACCAACCATGCATCAGTGTCACCTACCATGCTTCTGTGTCACCTATCATGCTTCTGTGTCACCAACCATGCATCAGTGTCACCTACCATGTTTCTATGTCACCTACCATGCTTCTGTGTCACCTACCATGTTTCTGTGTCACCCACCATGCTCTGTGTCACCTACCATGTTTCTGTGTCGCCTACTATGCCCCTGTGTCACCCACCATGCATATGTGTGCACCTACCATGCTTCTGTGTCACCCAATTCGCCCTGTCACCCACCATGCATCTGTGTCACCCACCATGCTTCTTTGTCACCCACCATGCTTCTGTGTCACCTACCATGCTCTGTGTCACCTACCATGCCCTGTCACCTACCATGCATATGTGTCACCTACCATGCTTCTTTGTCACCTACCATGCTTCTTTGTCACCTACCATGCTTCTGTGTCACCTACCATGCATCTGTGTCACCCACCATGCTCTGTGTCACCCACCATACCTCTATGTCACCTACCATGCTTCTGTGTCACCTACCATGCTTCTTTGTCACCCACCATGCATCTGTGTCACCCACCATGCTTCTTTTGTCACCCACCATGCATCTGTGTCACCTCACCATGCATCTGTGTCAACTATGCTTCTGTGCTCCACCATGCTCCTGTCACCCACCATGCATCTGGTCACCTACCATGCATCTGGTCACCCTACCATGCATCTGTCACCACCATGCATCTGTGTGCCACCACCATGCATCTCAGTGTCACCTACCATGCATCTGTGTCACCTACCATACATCTGTGTCACCCACCATACCTCTGTCACCTACCATGCATCTGTGTCACCCACCATGCATCTGTGTCACCCACCATGCTTTGTCACCCACCATGCATCTGTGTCAACTACCATGCATCTGTCACCTACCATGCATCTGTGTCACCTACCATGCATCTGTGTCACCTACCATGCATCTGTGTCACCCACCATGCATCTGTGTCACCTACCATGCATCTGTGTCACACCTACCATGCTTCTCTGTGTCACCTACCATGCATCTGTGTCACCTACCATGCTTCTGTGTCACCTACCATGCTCCTGTGTCACCTACCATGTTTCTGTGTCACCCACCATGCTTCTGTGTCACCTACCATGCTTCTGTGTCACCTACCATGCTCCCGTGTCACCCACCATGCATCTGTGTCACCTACCATGCTTCTGTGTGACCCACCATGCCTCTGTGTCACCCACCATGCATCTGTGTCACCTACCATGCTTCTGTGTCACCTACCATGCTCTTGATCACCCACCATGCTTCTGTGTCACCTACCATGCTTCTGTGTCACCTACCATGCTTCTGTGTCACCCACCATGCATCTGTGGTCACCTAATGCTCTGTGTCACCCACCATGCATCTGTGTCACACCCACCATGCTTCTGTGTCACCCACCATGCTCTGTGTCACCCACCATGCTCTGTGTCACCCACCATGCTTCCATCACCCACATGCTCTGTGTCACCCACCATGCCCTGTGTCACCTACATGCCCCAGGTCACCCACCATGCATCTGTGTCACCCACCATGCTTCTGTGTCACCCACCATGCTTCTGTGTCACCACCCACCATGCCCCAGTGTCACCCACCATGCATGTCACCCACTAGTTTGTCACCCACCATGCTTCTATCACCCACCATGCTTCTATGTCACCCACCATGCTCTGTGACCACCCACCATGCTTCTTGTGCCACCTACCATGCTCCTTGTGTCACCCACCATGCTCTGTGTCACCCACCATGACCAGGTCACCCACCATGCTCTGTGCCACCCACCATGCTTCTCAGGCCATCTCATGCTCTGTGTCACCCACCATGCTTCTGTGTCACCCACTAGCATCCATGTCACCACCATGCATCCAGGTTCACCCACCATGCCTCTATGTCACCCACCATGCTCTGTCACCCACCATGCCTCTAGGTCACCCACCATGCTTCCGTGTCACCCATACCACACCCCATGTGTCACACCCACCATGCTTCTTGTCACCCATCACATGTCACCCACCATGCCTGTGTCACCCACCATACATCTGTGTCACCCACCATGTTTCGTCACCCACCATGCATGTCACCCACCATACATCCATGCCACCCACCATGCTCTGTGTCACCCACCATGCTTCTGTGTCACCCACCATGCTTCTGTGTCACCCACCATGCATGTCACCTACCATACATCTGTAGGTCACCCACTATACATCTGGTCACCCACCATGTCTGTGTCACCCACCATGCTCTGTGTCACCCACCATGCATGTCACCTCACCATACATCTATGTCACACCCACCATGCTCTGCAGTCACCACCACATGTCACCCACCATACATCTGTGTCACCTACCATGTTTGTCACCCACCATGCATGTCACCCACCATACATCTGTGTCACCTCAATTAGCTTCTGTGTCACCCACCATGCATGTCACCCACCATACATCTGGTCACCCACCATGCATCTATCACCCACCATGCATGTCACCCACCATACCTTGTGTCACCCACCATGCTTCTGGGTCACCCACCATGCATATGTGTCACCCACCATATCTCTATGTCACCCACCATGCATCCATGTCACCCACCATGCCTATGTCACCCACCATACCTCATATGTCACCCACCATGCATCTGTGTCACCCATCATACATCTGTCACCCACCATGCTTCTGTGTCACCCACCATGCATATGTGTCACCCACCATACCTATGTCACCCACCATGCATCTGTGTCACCCACCATGCTTCTATGTCACCCACCATACCCCTATGTCACCTACCATGCATCTGTGTCACCCACCATGCTTCTGTGTCACCTACATCGCTTCTGTGTCATCTACCATGCTTCTGTGTCACCCACCATGCTTCCAGTGTCACCCACCATGATCCGTGTCACCCACCATGACATCTGTCACCCACCATGCCTATATGTCACCCACCATGCTCTGTCACCCACCATGCCCCTGTGTCACCCACCATGCTTCCAGGTCACCCACCATACCCCATGTCACCCACCATGCTTCTGTCACCCACCATGCCCTGTGTCACCCACCATACATCTGTCACCCACCATGTTTGTCACCTACCATGCATGTCACCCACCATACACTCTGCGTGTCACCCACCATGCTTCTGTGTCACCCACCATGCTTCTGTGTCACCATCAGGTCACCCACCATGCATGTCACCCAACATACATCCAAGGTCACCTACTATGCTTCTGTGTCACCTACCATGCCTCTGTGTCACCTACTGCGTTTCAGGTTGATCACCATGCATGTCACCTACTCATACATCTTTGTCACTTAATATGCTTCTGCGTGTGTCACCTACCATACATCTGTGTTACCTACTATGCTTCTTGTGTCAATTTGACCTACTATGCATCTATATCACCTATCATGCTTCTCTGTCACCTACCACGCTTCTTTGTCACCTACCATGCATTTATGTCATCTACCATGCATGTCACCTACCATACATCTGTGTCACCTACCATGCTTCTGTGTCACCTACCATGCATATGTGTCACCTACCATACCTCTATGTCATCTACCATGCATCTGTGTCACCTACCATGCTTCTATGTCACCTACCATACCTCTATGTCACCTACCATGCATCTGTGTCACCTATCATACATCTGTGTCACCTACCATGCTTCTGTGTCACCTACCATGCATATGTGTCACCTACCATACCTCTATGTCACCTACCATGCATCTGTGTCACCTACCATGCTTCTATGTCACCTTCCATACCTCTATGTCACCTACCATGCATCTGTGTCACCTACCATACTTCTATGTCACCTACCATGCTTCTATGTCACCTACCATGCTTCTGTGTCACCTACCATGCTTCTGTGTCATTACTATGATGTTTCATTCCTTGTCTGCAGTTCTGGTAAGTGTTACTTTTTTACATTTAGTAATTACGTGTACTCATACTGTATATGGATCGATAATTTTGGATTGTATTTTCGTAGGAAGAGGGTAGTGCCTCGATAAATCGGAATTTGGGATATCTTGGCAAGGCCAGAGCCCCCTATGTGCCGAGTTATCGAGGGTTTACTGTATACACGGAGCCCCTCAAATTAGCGGATTTTTATTTCGTGGTCCTCTATTATTCAAGGATGACACTCTGGATGTATCCAAGAATGTCTGTGGGTAGTTTTAAAGTTGCTGGCATTTCCACGGCTGGGACAGGGAGCCATTCATTCTAGAGACAGTAATTTTCTTTACCTGTATATTGGGAAAATTGTCTCACAAATAATCAGAAACAATTTTATTAAAAATGTGTCAGTCTACCCTCAAGTCTGTGCTTTATTAATAAAGCACAGAATTGAGGGTAGACTGTCACATTTTTTATAAATTTGTCTGATTAATTATTTATGAGAGTATTTTCCCATTATTATTTATTTGTACACCCACCTCTTGTTTTACGCGGGGTTACGTTCTTGAAAATCTCCGCTTAATTCAAAAACGCATAAATTAAACATAATTTTCCCATAAGAATACATGTAAGTGGTACAGGTTAAGGGAACCATTATATACCGCACAGGGTACGAACAGTGCTCTCATGCGGCCAACCTCCCACACACACTCTCCTCTCTGAAGGCAGGTGATCACATTTAATTTTACTTCCATTGCAATTGTTTTTCGTGCCTTTTTAGCTTTAAGCACCCCAGTGGAGGCAGATGGACATTTTTCAGACATGCTCAATGGGAAAAACAGCGCTTAGCACTAAAAAGGTACGTGATAAACACACAAGGCAAATGAAAACACAGAAAAAGTAGTGCTGGTGTGAACTGAGAAAGCGATACCCGGGAAGCTTGCTGGACGTTGTCACAGTTGTCGAACAGAATACTTCATCATTATCTTCATCATTAGTAGTAATAATCTTTATTACAGGTTGACAATCCCTTATCCGAAATCCGTGGGACCAGAGACATTTCGGTTTTTGGAATTTTTCGGATTTCAGAATGGTAATTTATTTATTTATTTTTTTATATATTTTTTTTTTTACAGGGATCAGCCCACCCGGGCACAGCAGGTCACTGACTCACATTGGGGCCTGGGGGCTAAAATATAATAATAATAATAATTATAATAATAATAATAATTCATAGGTCTATGTCATGTTTCTCACTTTTGATCTTTTTTTCATTCTTGTATTTCTTTATTATTATTATTATTTTTTCATTATTGTTATTATTATTATTATTATTATTATTATTATTATTATTATTATTATTATTATTATTATTATTATTGTTATTACTGTATTATCATTATTACAGGTTGGCAACCCTTTATCCGAAATTCCGAAAACCGAAAAGCTTTAAAAACCGAAAGTTTTTTGTGTTTTTTTTTTTTTTTAAAACAGGGATTATTAGCCCAGCCAGGCACAGATCACTGACCCACATCGGGGCCTGGGGGGCAAAAATGTAATAGTAATAATAATTATAATAATAATTATTCATAGTAAATAAAATTTTTAATAATTATACACCAAAATAAAATAATAATGATTACAATAATTTTAATAATAATAATAATAAAATATAATAATAAAATTAATAATAATAATAATAACAATAATACTGTAATAATAAAATAATAAAACAGTAAAGAAATACAAGAATGAAAAAAAGATCAAAAGTGAGAAACACGACCTAGACCTATGAATTATTATTATTATTATAATAATTTTTATTACATTTTCACCCCCCAGGCTCCGATGTGGGTCAGTGATCTATGCCCAGGTGGGCTAATACACATATATATATATAAAAAAAAAAAAACCCTAACCATTCTGAAAACCGAAAAATTCCGAAAACCGAAATGCCTCTGGCCCCAAGGATTTTGGATAAAGGATTGTCAACCTGTACCTGTATTATTATAATTATTATTACTATTACATTTTCACCCCCAGGCCCCGATGTGGGTCAGTGACATGTGCCCGGGTGGGCTAATACCCCAAAAAAAAAAAATTTTGCTCCACAAATTTTTTTTTCGGTTTTCAGAGCTTTTCGGTTTTCGGAATTTCGGATAAAGGGTTGTCAACCTGTATTACATTATTATTATTATAATTATTATTATTAATAATAATGTTAAAATCGTTGATGTTGATATGACTGAGACTTATAGTGGTAACTTGCAAGCACCTCGCCAGGCATCACATGCAACTCCACTGCCAGGCGACCAGGCGAATATGCGCACCAAATTTAAACTGTCTTGAGCGTGTTATTTAAAAAATAGGTGCGCGTAAATTAGCTTTTAGTATTAACTGAACAATCGTGTTATTCCAAAAACGCTTAAATCAAATGAGCATAAAACGTGAGTTAACTGCATGTGTTTTGTGTGTGTGTCTACACATACACACACACACACATACACATATACTATACAGGTAAAAGAAATAATTGTCCTAAGAGCAAACACATGAAGGCAATATACATTTCTTTGTACACGAGGTCCCCCCCCCCCTCCCCGCCAGCGGATTTGGCAATTCGCGGTCATTTTGAGAACCTAACTCCCGCGAATTTGGGGGGGCTCCTGTATTGCTCTATGGACCGTGGTACACTCCAACCAGAGAAAGTTTTTAAACATTTGAAATTTTGGGGAAAAAATGGAATTTGATTATTGACTTCTATTTATTACTTAAAGTTTAAACTACAAAATGAAACTCACATCTGAAAACTATATACTTAGGGCAACATTTTGATACCAAGAAAACTTTGCTTGATGTCTACGAGTTGTCTCCTATTCAACTTTTTACTGAATTTTGTCTGTAATCACCCCATCTTACAGCACATTCACAATTACTGTACATTATTGTTTTTATTCCACAGGTTATGAAGTTTGCTACTGAAGCAGAAGCTAAATCTAAAGAGAGTATGAAAATGGTGGATAAGTTACAAGCGCAGCTTCTGTTTAAGGTAAATGAATTTATGGTATTTTGTTATTGTTTAGAATACCTTACAATATACAGTACCACTTCTTCAATTTTTTTTTTTTTTTTACTTGTTGTGCTGTCTTGTTTGCTCTAGATAATGAGCTTTATCAATCCAAGAATTTCTAGGCAATCAGAGAAGGCATACTTCATTCTAGCCTCACTACTGCTAATGGATAGAGAGACCCCTCACTCATGGTGTCATTTCATCATTTTCGGAGTTTTTATTTTATGAATCAATGAAAGGTTCTACAAAGAAGCTCTTCAGATTTATGAGTTTTACCCAGCATTATCTTAGATAGATTAATTAAAAAAATTGAATATTTTTGGGGTCATTGTGACCTTGACCGTTGACCGTGTACAGTGGTGTTTGCGTGAATAAATACAGTACAGCCTTGTTTCTGTCCGAGCAAGATGTGTAGTTAGACTCGAAAAACTTTCCTCAGCACCCGTAAGCATTCTGAGAATGTGTGGTTTAATACTATGATAGGGAGATGAATTTGATACCATAATGATCCTTAATAAATTCTCTTTGAGATGTTTCCAATAAGATATCCTTAAACAAAATGTTTTGATTTATAATGATGGGAATTCCATTTAAAAAAAATAAAAACATAAGAAATGTTGATACTAGAGTCAATAAAATCAGTTCTAATTTCGTTAGACACTATTTTTTTTTCAAAGTTATCCGGAATACTTTATCTAAAAGTTTGGTTAACCCTTAAGCCCCGGGTTAGGGTGCTGTTGGCAGTTCTCCCATGCGGGGTTTAATCGAGAAAAAATCAACATTTCCAAAAAAAAAAATATATATATATATACATAAAAAATTTGCGGGAAAATAGGCGGACGTTCTGAAACGTCACCCGGGGCCTAAGGGTTAAATAAATATTAAAAAAAAAGATAATATGATACGAGCGTGAATAGAGCTGTGTTACAATAAAGACAGTGTGGTATTTTCCAAGAGTAAATGATGCAGCTCGTAGGAGCTCTAGTTATTTACGCAAACACCACTGTACAAGTACAATACAGTGAACCCTCACTTTACGCGGTTAATTCAACCCACAGGGTACCGCGGAAAGTGAGAAACGCGTAAAGTGAACAACATAACATATGGGATTAATTGAAATAGAGACGGGGCCGTCCCCCAAACTCCACTTTTTGACGACACACAATTATGTTGTCGTAAAAATATTATCTTAACTTTATGATGGTATGCACACACAATTAATATAGAAGAGGTTAGGTTAGGAAAAATAAAGGTTGGGGTTAACACTTACGTTAGTAGAAGAGATGGGTCGGCGTACGGGAATGGAGGCTGGTTCCGAGGCAGAGGGCAGGCTACTGGCCCTTAGGTGAGTCACTATCACTGTCATCCACATTTGTCAGGGCCTCCCTGACAAATCCCTGAAAGTCAGCATCACTGTTTTTACCTCTGTCACTATCACTGGCTTGTGTTGGCTGTGGTGGGTTGCGGGCGAAGAACTCTGTTATACTTTGCTGACGGCTGGTGTTTATGTTGTCGTGATAAACCTTGAAGTAGGGCTCCATAGTCTGCAACAGCTGGGTAGTGAAGATTTCATACCTGTTTGCGTCAGGGTCGTCGGAAAGGAGGAGCTTGACTTTCTCGATACACTCGATGGCACCCCTAACATTACTATGGGATAAGCGGTGTTCTTCTTGGGATGACGCACCACCTGCCTCTTCACTGACGTCATCATCATCTACCATCTTGTCGGTAGTCACTTCAGGATCCCTTATCACCTCCAGGATGTCGTCGTTGGTGGTCTCGGAGAAGCCTGCAGCTGTAACACTCTGCGCAGCTTCTCTGGCAAGGTCCACTGCTACTGCAACAGTCTGAACCTCACCAGTCACAGATTGACTCTGCCTAATGGCTGGAATGCCTTGCAACACATGTCTCCATGCGTGACGAACAGTTGCTACAGACAGCTGATCCCATGCCTCCACCAAGAAGTCCACAGCTTTCTTGATGTTGAATATTCTCCAGAATTGTTTGAAAAGTACCTGTTGCTCTGCCAACTGTTGATCCTCGTCGTCTTCGCTCTTGTTATCGGTGGTGGTGTCACTCAGGTTACGCAACTCTTCCCTGGTGTTGGTGTAGTCGTTCAGGAGCTTGAATTTTTTAGTAGAGAATGCAGCTTTTACATTACAGATTAACTCTTGGTCCATGGGCTGTAATATAGACGTAGTGTTGGGAGGAAGGAAGACCACTTTTACGTTGGGGTGACGATCTAACAGTAGGGGCGAGTGTCCTGGTGCGTTGTCCAGCAGCAACAAAATCTTGAATGGCACATTCTGTTGCTCACAGAATTTCTTCACATCGGGAACGAAACAGTCATCAAACCAGGAGAGGGACAGTGTAGAGAACATCCTTGCCTTACGTGCGGTCAACCAGTGGACATTTAGCTTGGTCATGTCCATGCTCTTGTAGGCGTGCGGCTTGCGTGCTGTTTGGATCACCGATAACTTGAGCTTACAGGTACCGGAGGCATTGGTGGTAAACAGGACAGTGATGCGCTCCTTCTGCAACTTCCGGCCCCGAATCTTGCTGGCATTCTTCACAACGAAGGACTTGGAAGGTAGTTTTTTCCAGAAAAGACCAGATTCGTCCATGTTAAACACCTGGTCGTCGGTGTACTGTCCTTCCTCCATAATCTCACGTAAAAATGGAGGAAATTCCCTAGCCGCAACACGGTCAGCACTAGCTTCTTCACCACCAATGTTGATATTGGTGATCTTGTTGTTCTTCTTAAACTTCTGTAACCACCCAGAGGAAGCATTAAAGGGATTGGGCTCTGTTATTCCCATCTTTCGTGACACTGCAGCATACAGTTCATGTGCGTACTCCTTAACAGAGCGCGTGTCCACCGCCATGTTCCGTCGCGCCTGACGCACCAAGTAGCTCACAAGTAATTTTTCTGTCTTGAGAAGCACCTGGTTGTGGAAATACTTGATCATAGAAGCACCTGTAGACTTTGTGATGTTCATGTGCTCCTTTATCTTGGCTGAATCCTTCTTTATCGTCCGGATCGTAGATTCGTTCACACCATGCTGGCGCGCCAAATCAACCTGTCTTGTTCCTTTCTCCAACTCTTGGATGATCTTGTACTTCACCTCGTAGCTTAAGGAACGTCGTGTCTTCTTTGACTTAGGGCGGCTGGGTCCAGGTAAGGAAAGGTTTCTCTCTGGGGGCGGTGGTCCGGCGGAAGCCATTTTATAGAACAATGGATGCACAATTACACGGTGTGGCCTGGAGGGATGAAACTGCCGCGGCTAGGTCAAGTGTGGTCTGTTTACTAGCGTTCAGCTGATGGAAAGATGGGGGAGGGGGGCAGAGGTGAGGTGAGGTGTTTGACAGTTGATGCCGAAGGTCTAGTGCTTATTTATATATCTGCCCTTAAGAGTGACTTTAAGTATTTCTCTTATAAAATGTCACTGAACTGAACATTGCTGGAATTCTTATAAGATTGTGATTAGTTTGAATATATATATATATATATATATATATATGCTATAGTTCACATTAGACATACAAATTTTAGTTCTAATTAATTTTATTACAAGAGCTAAATATTCAAATTATTCACTGTCTTGCAAGGATTCCAGCAATGCAAATTATATTCTCCTAACTTGAGTCTGTGATATTATAAGAGATAAAAACTGTAAGCCTAAAACCCTGGCTGGGAAGATGGGGGAGAGGGAGGGAGGGGGGGAAGTGATAGTTGTGTCGAAGGTCTAGTGAAGTATTTATTTTTTTATTTATGTCCTTTATATTGAGTTTTTGTGTTTTGTTTATAAAATGTCACAGAAGTAACCTGGGAGAATATAATTTACATTGCTGGAATTCTTATAAGATAGTGATTAATTTGAATATAATTATGCTATAGTTTGGACTAGACAAAAATATTAGTACAGCTGCTCCTCGACTTAGGACGGAGTTGGGGACCCAAATCCAGGTCGTAAGTCGAAAATGCTTAAATAATACATAGAAAATCTATAATGGGTGTCTCTTTTTCTTCTCAGCACCACAAAACTCTCACTTTTAATCTTGCCAGCCATTTTTAAGTGAATTACAAACAAAAATTTTGTCAGTACACAGTGCAATCACTAATGTTGGGACTTGAAAATACATAATTTGAAAATTTTTTGGTACGACTGAGGCTGTCGTATGTCTGGGTGGTCGTAATGTCGAGTATGTCGTAAGTCGAGGAGTAGCTGTAATCATTTCGTACATTATTTTGAGTACATGTACAGTACAGCTTTGCCCTTAGGACAGTGTAGCGTGCCCAAAGAAACATTAGGCGTGAAATTTAAAATATGATGCGCCAGATTGACTCGGTCAAAATAGGTAAGATTCGCTTTAAATTGAAACATTGTCCTTAATTGTGGGTGTCGCTTTAAATTAATGATCTTAAATTGAATCGCTTTAAATCAATGTTCTACTGTACAGTAAAACCTACTTCAGCCTACGGTGACTGAACTAAATGTATAAAAACGATAAATACTTGTATAAAAACACCATGTAAGATTCACCCCCATTTTAGCAGGGAGTATTTAGGAAACTGGTACCAGTAACATATAAAACCACACAGGAAAGGGGAAACACTGGAGCACCTTAGCTTTCGTCTTTATTCAAGACAGTTTCAGAGGCAACTGAATTTACAGGGACTGAGTGAGGCTTATATACAATGAGTGACCTTACATAACATCAGGTCAGGTCAATAACATGGGTTCCTCTAATCCACACACCACCTCCATCACAAACAAAAGAAGAGCTCATAAAAAGATGGGTGACAACAACAAGTCAGGTCAAAAACATGAAACCCACTAATCATCTACCGTGCATCCACCTCAAATGCTTTCGAAGCATTTTTAACCTTAGCCCAGTTATTATTCATTAATTAATACCACACCATCACACACACAGCATCTAGAGTTTAAAGTCTTGTATGAGACACTGTGAGTAGG